AATTAACATGTAACAATTATACTCTCAAAACATTCAGGGAAAGAACATCTCTGGCATGCATTCACAGTGGATAAAGATCCTTACAATTTCCATATTTCTCTTTCAGAAATTTATACTCAGTCTTTGAGAACAAAAAGAAACTGATTTTATTTTACTTGCCAAGAATGTAAGTTTTAAAGTGAAATTTCTGTGTTTTAAAAATAAGATGTTAAAAAATGATATCTGCTCTTACCAACTTGGTTTCATGTTTACAGGACACACACACAAACACTCGGTGTGACACAGAATAGTTTCTCTGGCCCTTGCCAAAGTTTCTATTATAAAAGAGGCCATATTGGATTACTTGTATGCTACCAGAGAGATATAATGACAGCTTGCTGTGTCCAAGATCCAGCCTGAATGTTTTTGTATGGAGTGTAATTTCCTATAAGAAACCTTATCTGTTGCTTATTCAGTGAGATTGCCATTAAGGAAAATATTGTTAAGCTTTACTCAAATGAATATATATACTCAAATGAATATATTACTCAAAGGCAAAATTTACTTGACATATATTATAAGTTATCAATGGAATATTTTCTGTCTTTGACCTATTTTATATTCATTGCTTCTAGTGCAATATCATCCATGTAAATGTTACCCACATGCATTAATATTAACCAACTCTTGAGGGCTCAATGGCATTTTGATCTTACTCCACCACGTGTTTTCCATGTCTATTTTCTACACATTATTGAGTGTTACCTAAACTCAATGGACAGGCGAGGCCACAAGCATCCCGAGTCAAGAATGATCATATAACATCAGTATGTTAAATCGCTAATTATCACAGAGAGTAAACTTAAAGTTATGCTGAATTATCCAGAAGGGCCAGGGAAAACTGCTTGCATGGTGTCCCCATTTGGGTCAGCTGCTGAGCATGGGGCTAGCATCCAGAGTGTCACCGAGGTTTCATGACTCAAAAGATTTTGAACTTGTTGTTTATTTCAGTGTTGCGGAAATCTCTTAGCTTTCATCTGTTCTCTGGCATTCTTTGTACAGCAGGCCCAATTCAATCACAAAGAGAAAGACCTTAGTGTGAAGCTGAAAGGGAGGAGCAAGCGAGCATCAAGTACCAGCCTCCTTGAAGGGACCCTTGAAGGTCAGAAAATGGTGTCAAATGTGAGAACTTGAATCAGAGGGATTTTGATGGCAACAAAAGATACATTTTCTAAAAATCTGAATATTACAGTGTTTCCCTTTAGGTGTAAAAATTGAGAAAGATTCCATTTTTTTCTTTGTATTTTCTATATCTACTCACTTTTCCAAAGAGAATGAATTATATTAATGATCATTTTAAAACCCCAACAGAGCCAGGCATGGTGGCTCATGCCTTTAAACCCAGCCTTCCAAAGGCAGAGGCAAGCAGATCTCTGAGTTTGAAACCAGCCTGATCTACAACGCAAGTTCCAGGATAATCAGGGCTACACAGGGAAACCCCTGTCTCGAAAAACCAAAACCAAACCTAAATAATAATAATAAAAATACTAACTATTAAAATATGCTGTAAGTTAACTTGTTTTCTTCAGAGACCTAACAATAGAGTAGTATAGACTAATGACCGCCTCTTCCTAATTCTCTAAATGTGTTGTTATGAAAGTAGTGAGGCAAGTTATTTGAATGATGATAAGTAAACTACTAATTACATTTTTCTATTATAATAGGCAAAGCTAAGCCACTAAAGTCTGTAATTATCACTTTACACAGAGGAAAACCCTGAAGTATCCAAAAAAAAAAAAAAAAAGCTTCAAATGAAAATGTACCTGAATATTTTTTCATATACTTAAAATTCAACATCAACAATTAATGCCAAATCACTAAAACAATGAAACTGCATTATTTAAAAGATAGCATTTAAAGTATCCATGAAATAACACATTGTTCAGAACTTTAGATAGGACTGTATTTATCCTAATTGTATTTATCCAAATTGTACATTAACTATATTCTCTGGTGACTTTTTTTCCTTGCTGATTAATGAGATTTCTTGCTAGGCAAAATTTACTTGACATCATTAGGAAGAACAAATAAGATGATAAAGCTTAGATAGTTTTTGTGTTGTAAGAAAGCTCTTGGCAAGAGATAGAGAATGGCATGGATCCCTCTGTGTACATTTAATTATGGTGAAATGGAATTGTACTTCCAAAGTCATTTAAATGTATGGTATGGGGTCAAAGAGTGTTGGGAGGTACCAGCATTCTCTCTGATTATACAGTGCTTTCGCTGAAAACACAGGCTCTTGATATCCACTGTAGGCTGCTCTTCCTCCCTCGATAGAGCTTCTGTTTATAAAACACCAGCTGTTAACTCCAGACCTTAGTCAACATTAATCCTTGAAAACCAGTTACATACTGCTACCAGGTTATCCAATAATCAGTTCTCACTCTGGAAATCGCAGAGCTGAGGTCCATAAGGATTATTCTAAAGGAAGAACATTTTAGTAGACAACAAAGAAGGAAGAGCAAGTTACCCCAAAGATAGCCAAACCAAAATGACACACCAATGTTATGAGATCTGAGCATTCAAAATGTCACCTGGAGGTGTGGGAGATTTGGGGAGATGGGCATGGAGGGAGGGAAGAAGAGGAGGAAGAGAGAGGGGAAGAGATATGATAGAAGGGAGATTAACCCTAGTCAACCTTGTCAACTCCCTTCTTGTGTACATGATTCACATGCCTGGGCTCCTCCTGGGCATCTCTGCTTGGAGGCCGAAATCATCCTTTTGTTCAACGTCTTGCTTTTTCCAGCCAAATGCATATCTCTATCAATACTCCACGATTTAAAAGAGACACCGCTGGTGTTCCAGTCAAATCCTGGGAAAACAGCTTAATTTTTGCCCTTCCTTTATTGTCAACCCAATCCACTGGCAAATCTTACTCCTTCCACCACCAAAACAGACCCTGATTCTATCTATGCTTCTCCATCTACACTGTCATTGTCCATAGAACTCCTGTCACACGATCATGATAAGACACATTCCTTTTCCTCTTGTTTTCAGTCTGGCCAGCACGTGGTAGATAGAATAAACTTTTAAAGTCAAAAATTACTTAAAACTTTTAGAACATGCTGTACAGTAAAAGGCACATTCCGGAAGCTTGTCCAGAAGCCCAAGAGGTCCCGCCACTGACACATTGCCTCCTATCCCAGATTCTGTGTGGCAGCTACGACTTGCTACAGTGACCCAGATTTTGAGTCTTCGAATATACTGTGGTCACTGAGGCTTTGGTCCTTGGTGCCTTATGTACCTTCCCATGGGACAGTCATTCTAGAGTTTTCATTTACATGGGTTCTCCTCATCATTCTTGTCTCAGCTCAAATGTCATTTTCTCTAAGAAGCTTAAAGTCAACCAGACTCCAATCACCACCTGACACATTGCCTTGCTCTACTTTCTTGAGTCTTGGATAATTTACCATCTTACACATGTGTTTTCTAGTTCCAACCACCATAAAATGATTCCCATGAAGACAGGGCTATGGCCAACTTGTTTCTGTTAAACAACCATTGTAGAAACCCACCAAGCATGTAATCCTGTCCCAGGTGCTGAATGAGCATAAAATCTATGTTCATTTGCCTAATCTTTGGGAACTGTACCATATTCTATTCACCAGGAAAATGGCAGAAAGAACAATTAAGTATCAGGTGAACTTAAGGTTTCATCAAATAGTTAGAAACAAAAACTACTCCCAAAACAAGCCCATCAGATAGTCATTCCCAAAAGGAAGCATACAATCCCTACAGTGATTTAAGACCACTGTAGGGGAAATACTAAGGAAAAGATTTTAACAAAAATGTTACTCTGTAGTACTCTTGCATTCTTGCAAATGTTTCAGCCACCAGAAACCATAGTACTCTCTTAAAGGAATCCTGACAATAATTTTTATCAACCACCTTATTTCCTACATGAGAAATCAAAGTCACAGAACTTAAATGTCTACTCTTCCATCTCTCTGCCAGGCAGAGATCATGTTGGGACTTGAACTCATGACTCTTTATTTCAAGATCAGTTTTTTCCCATGCTATCAAATTGTTCACATCCTCCTTAGTTACAAACAAGATTCTCTCCATCGTTACTGACCTGACTTAAAAGTAGCCTTTTCAGATTCTGATGAAGAAGAGAAGTCTCTATTTCTTTTCCTTAGCATGGGTAAGTGAGCAAATTAACATGCAATATTAATTTTACAAAATTTAAGAAAAGGAGATCATCAATGTTTATAATCACACAATGATATTAGCAACAACAACAAATCATATTGGTCTCTAAGGAAAATATCCATTCTGACATTTGTACTTCCTAGGTGCCTGGTATCCCTGAGGTTGATAATTACAGTTCCTTCCCCTCCCGTTATTTGAGAACACCAGGAAGTATCACAAAGCACTCAGTAATATTATCAAAATGGGTTAATTACAGTCTGTTGGGTTTTAAGAAAGATACATGCTAAAGAAGGTGAAATCATAACTATTTTCCCTTATAAACCCTAGAGATTACTTTTTATTTTAGACAAGTACTTCTTTAACTCAACTTCTAGGGAGGGGTGAAAAATCTCAAATTACATAGTGGAACAAAAAATATTGAAGAATTTTGATGAAAAGTGTCTGTGTGTCTTGTAGAAGAAAGATACTGGATTGGGACTGTAACACTCTGGGAAGAACACTAATAGAATGGTAACCTAATTTTAAAAAATGAATACTTAATTTCTTAGAAAAAAAACAGGCTTAAATCACTGTATTTTTCTTGTATAAAAACTCTTCCTTATATGTTAGCAATGACTGGAGCCTGGGTCATCGGAATGGGGACTTGTTTGGGTTTTCATAAGATAGTGTATTCCTCTTAAGTGGACTTGGCGAATACAATCCATAGGTCAGAGGTCAAGTAGCTATAAGTCTTAGAGATGGCATCCAAGGTAACCTTGATTGGATAGCAAATAGAAGGGATTGGTGAATAGAAGTCCTTCCCACCCAGGAGCTGATGTACTCTTAGGAACAGAGCAGCCACTTTGTGGCAGGTCTGCTATGCACTAAGAATGCCATCCTCTATACTGGACCTGTGTGATTGCCAGAGCTGAGGGAGGTGATGAATAACTCTGTAGGATGTGAAGTAACATTCATAAATCTGACTGTTTTGAACAATGCTCCAAAGGAGACCCTTTGCACAGATCCTAGGTCCTATATGCAGATCCATGTCTGTTCTACCCCAGTCATCCAGGGAGTTCCCAAACCAGGGTCTGACATTGCTTCCTACCCACAGAGTTAACTAATTGAAGGTAAAGAGCCTCATCCTGCAAGGATAGAAGGTTTCAGCTGAGTAAATTGGAAGGCATCCCTGGCTGACCAACTGATGGGAAACCAGTAGGGAATGTCTCAAGGGGACAAGGCTGCACTTTCCACCTCCTTTCCAGGCGGCAAACACTGAAAGTTTGGCAAGTTCAGGAAAAATGACACTGAAAATAAGTCACTTCCAAAATATGGACAAATGTGTACTGGCATAGTTGTTTTATGGAGAGAAGGAAGTGTAAGAAGATTGACTTATTCTCCATCACAAACTTAGATGATTCTCTGATGAGAAAAATAGAGAGCATGGTGAAAAGTCATCAGTTGATGTTTCTTGGTATATTAAGTTATTTTTCTTCTATGGAAAGGTCAGTCTGATGGAGTTTTCTATATTCCTAAAGGAATCACAGTCTGCAAGGCAGCAAACAGCACCTCTGTCTCACACACAAAGTTAAAGATAAAACCAAACTACAGAATAAGGGGTTGGAAAGAAAAACTATCTTCAAACCCCTATTTCCTTTCTGCCTACTTCCTCACTGTGGGATAAAGAATGTGAGGCAGGGGGGATCCTATGGAAATGGACAGATTTGCACATTTTAAAACTTTCAGTGCTCATAAACTACTAGAAGGAGGCTGTAATTGTTTTAGAAAAAACTTCACTTTGCAAATTATGTTCCCCAAATCAAGTGTAATTTGTTTCCAAACAACGACTTGTTCAAAAGGCCTAATTGTTAATTACAGAGTTCCCAGCGCTAATTCTTCAAGCAGACCATAGCCCAAGGCCTTAAGTAAAGCTGCCTTTAAAGAAAGTGCTATATTCCAGTAGAGCTAAAGGGAGTTTTCCAGATCATAGTTAACAAGACCGACATTTATTTATTTATTTTTCCTTTTAAAATGAATGGCCCCATGGAAAAAAATCTATTTTTAAACATTAAGAACAGGCTTCCAAATTAATTCTTCCATTCTGAATAAGTGTGAGGCAGGGTTTATAAAGAACTTCCGTATTTACCAGTATCACTGAGGCCTCTGCCTTGCTGAACATCTTCCAGGAAGAGAAATATGATACAAGTTACATTTCCTGAGAGTGAAGTGAGAGATGCCTGGAGTTTATAGTAAGTCATTTCTTTCCCAGCTGACATCCACATCACCTGTCCACTTACAGGCAATTTGGCTAGCTGGGCTGGAGAGTCTGTCGAAATGCCTTCCCTTGGGCTTGGGGATAATGTTTGATTTCAGAGCCACAGAGATCCTGAAATCTTAGCCTTTTTGTGTTTGCTAAGAGGATTCAGACAGATAGGTTGTTAATTGGGAAAACAAAGCTTGGGTGATGCTCTAGTAATTTCTCGCCTTTTCTGGTAAGTACTTGTTCATTGTGGCATTGTAAATGACTTCCTATTGAACACAAGCCCCTCCACAGATGCCATCCAGCCCCCAAGCAAAGAGCAAGGTGCTCTTCAGAAAGAGAGGACCCTCTGCAAGTGAGTCCTGGCCTACATTTCTCACCCAAGGAAGATCAAAATATCCGGAGGAAAACCCAGTCTCCACAGGAGTCCCTAGAAATCGGAAATGTACTTCTGGGATCTGGGTGCTCAGCTCCTGCTTCCGGATCCACTTAGGAAGTCTCACACCTAATGGGAAGCTGTGGTTTCTCAATGGTGTTCACACAGTTCCTGTTTTTCTTTTCCTAGGGTGTATGGGGCATTCCCACACCTTTGGCTTTTTAGATGAATGAGGTTCACACTCTTCAGACCAGCACACATGGCCTTCCAGAATACCCTTGCCTATCTAGACACTCTCATACCCATGTTCACTAATCACACAGGATTCTCTCAGTATCTCTTCAACTACCTTGACCTTTAAAACCACGGTAATACTCCCTATAATAGCCATGGTACATGCTGTCCCCCAGCTAACCCAGCACATCAGTATTTTAAACCACGACCTTTCAAATCCTCTGTAAAACTGTTCCTCATCTGGTTTCCCAGAGTGTGTGTCACATATATATGACATTACATTCCATAATAGCTAATTGTTGGCCTCTCTGTCTTTTGAGACAGAAATAACTTGAAAGCAGGGACTATGCCTTTATTCATCTTTCAATCCACAGTGAGTATCCATGATCATTGGGAATCGAGTGAAATGCTTTGCAGAATTTCTTTTCCTTCACTGGCATCAAAGCTGAACTTAATATGGACACAATACCATAAAGCAGCTTTCTCTGTAGCCCTCCTAAGCACAGATCATTTTATATGCTTATTATGTGAGTGTCAAAAAGAGCAAGGCAACTTGAAGGCAACTGAAAGAATCGCTCGTATTCATATCTCTGACTTTTGATCGCCATGGAGGGAGAACCAGGAGTCAGTAGAACTATATTTGCTGAGAACTCTGTGAGGCTATGTGAATACACAATACTGCCTCAGTGCCTCAGAGTCAGAGCATTAGATCCTTACCACACACCTCCAAAGTGTGTGTGTGCTTGCATGCGTGCGTGCATGCGTGCGTGCATGTGCGTGCATACGTGCGTGCGTGCGTGCGTGTGTGTGTGTGTGTGTGTGTGTGTGTGTGTGTGTGTGCCTGTGTGTGTCTGTATGTGTGTGTTAGCCAGGACTCAGTCATAAAGCTACAGGGAAACTCTGGTACCTAAAGACTGAAGATGAACAGGTCTGGGAAGAATTTGACTGGCCCCTGGGAAGTGACATTTTCATGGATAGGGTTTTCAGCAAAGACAGTATTCATCATGGCAAGCAATTTAGAAAACAATGATAGAAGTGGACTTGCTTGATCTATATTTTCTTTATAGAGCTGGGAATCAAGGCGACACCCGAGGACATTGCACAGCTATGGTAGTGGCCAGTGCTGGAATCCCTAGGCTACATCCCCTGCTTCAATCATACCTTTTATTTTTAAAAATGAATATGTGATGAACACTCCTGTGTTTCTCAGAAAAAAATGAATCCTCATAGCCTTTTGGGGGTGCAAGGACCCCTAGATAATCAGGTAAGGAGTAGGTATCCCAGTGGCAGAAGCTTTCATGAACTCATGATATCATTTGGTCCCTCAAAACACTTACATGAGTCAGGTCAGTATGAGATCAGAATTGTGTACAAAATTCCACCAAAAGTGAGGTGTACTGGAGCAAAAACTGAAGCAAATTTGACTGAGGACATCAGTTAGAGCTGAATGCTGAAGATAGGGCATGCACTACGTTTCCTAGGCTACATAGCAGTTCAGATGGCAGGAAAGATAAACAAAGGTATGGGAGAGACATTGTAATGCTGATGCTATTGGCATTGGAAATAGAATAGTTATTGTTATTATCTCAGAGAAAGAAATTTTTATAGAGATGAAGAAATCCTTGTGAATAGGTTAAGGGATCAATAAGAAAATACATCAGTAACACTGAGAGGTTTATGACTGAATGGGGCTGTTAAGGAAAACATTTCTAGATTAGGGTGGGATTAAATACATATTTGAAGAATAAGAGGCCAAGATGCTATGGAGGGATAAGTTGAAGACACGAGAGCAAAGGGTCAATGGTGGATGGATGTCTCCAAGGAGGCTGGCTGGGAGGGGACTAATCACAAATGAGGAAATCAGAAAGGTCACTTCTGGAGAAGATAGATAAGTATTGCAAGATGTAAAGAAGAAGATGGGAGAGTTCAGGTAAGATTGCCCAATTCAAATCATATTCAAGCATCCAGATGTTAATTCTTCATAGTACCACCATGTATGTTGATGCTGACTAAAATAGTCATTCATAAATCTATCCCAAATTCACTTAAAATACCTAGTCCCAGTAGATGAAAGTTTTCCTCTCTATTATTTGAATGTTTTATTTTTGTTTAAAGTTATACAATATTCACCTCTTTTTAGAGTGAATGTATTTTAAGAAATGCAAGTTGTCATTAAAATGAGGTTATGGATAAGGTGTGTGTAAGTATGTGGGCCACATAAAATAATATAAGTAATTTTAGGCTACCATTTTTGATTAGCTTTCATTACTAAGAAGAGAAAATTGAAATGATAAGAAATTTTGTTATTAGACACCACAATTTTTCTTGGTTGACATAAATCTCAAAGTTTATCACTGAAATTGTGATTATATCATATTATTTGCTAGTATCCAAGAGTGATTACAAAACTATTTTTATTACTGTAGTGGTAGTTGATGAAAATAGAGTCCTAACACCTTACTGAAAAGTCTATAGAGCTGCTATAAAAGTATACTTGAATATACAACAAAGGATCATATATCACTACCATCAATTCTTCAACTAATTCATACATTTAGGGCCAGAGCGGTAGATCAGTGGGTAAGGGTACTGGTAGCCAAACCTGACAACTTGAGTTCAATTCTGGAAGCCACACAGGAGAATAAGAGAATCAAATTCCACAAGTTATCCTCTAACTCCATGTTATATGTGGTGGTATGTTTACACAACTGTGGGCGCACACACACGCACGCAACACATGTACATGCATACTCATGCTAAATAAATAAAAAGTAAATTGATTCATAAGTTTAAGGTTGTGATTAAATATTTGAAGATTTGTAAACATTGTAAAAACAATACCTTTTCCAATTCCTTGGGTTGATCATTCCTTGGGTTAATCTTCACAGGACTATTATGGATTAAGATTAGAGATGAGTGACGCATGGGCTCATGCATGTGTTTTCTTTCCTGTAGTTTGAAAATGCATCCCCCAGACATGCCCATAGATCTTCTCATTGAGACTTTCCTTAGCTGAGATTCCCTCTTCCCAATATTTAATGTCAAGTTGACAGAAACGG